TTCGGTAAATATTTGTAAAATGAACCGCAAAATGCACGAGGACGTTGGAACTTCCCAAAACCCTCTCCAGACGGAGGCCGACCTCATTAATAAGAGATTATCTCCTCCCACAAAATGTGTTAATCCCAGCGTCCCTGTGTTGCCAAAGTAGTTTATCCGCAAGCAACACAACCGGAAGTCATTTGGCTGATCCCGATTATGAATTGTCTTTTAAATGCACTTTCTGGGTGATGAGATTACCTGGAATAGAGCTCATCTGAAGTGAGTAAAACGGAAATAATGATTTCATAGGGTTGTCAGGGGGATGAAACGACTTGATGGAAGTGTAGCGTTAGGCGCCATGGTTCTCAGGTGGAAGCTAATTGGTCCCCATGGAAACACTTGGTAAGGTCTGGAGATATTTTGTTGTTGTTGTTGTCAAAACTGGGCTAGGGAGTTGCTACTGGCATCTGCTGGTAAGTGCCCAACAAAGAACAGGACAGCCCCCCTACAAACAGACTTATCCAGCCCAGAATATCGGTAGTGCTCCCCGTGAGAAATCGGGGCACATGGTAAGGGCTGTGTTTGTTTTTGTTATTATCATTATTGTTTTGTAAGTGACAATTCCTGACAAGTGTTCTCACACAGTCTGAGGGTGGGGGGATAGCACAGGGGTTGAAAGCATTAAGTCTGCAGGGATACTTTCTGGGTTTGAAGCCAGAGCTTTACTTTGTGCTAACAATGTGATTTAGAGCACTTTCTTGACTTTTCTTTTCTTTCTTTCTTTTCTTCTTCTTTTTTTTTTTAATATGCAGGGAGCCCAATGTGGGACTCGATCCAAAGACTCCAGGATCATGACCCGAGCCAAAAGCAGATGCTTAACCAACTGAGCCACCCAGGTGTCCACTTTCTTGACTTTTCAATACCTAATAGTCTTTGCTTGTACAATCAGAATAACAGTAGTAACTCCCTCAGGGATTTGCTGGGGGAGTGCATAAAAGAATCCATATACGACATTCAGTACTGTGCAGGAACATATAATAAATGTCCAATAAACGTCATTGATCATGGCTATTGTTTTTGTTGACTCCAAAAGATCTCTCTACACAATATTGTGAAAGGATTAAGGGTAATTTCAATGAGAAAAGAAATAAAAAATGTATTGCTTACATAAAGTACATATAAATATGTATTTCACATAATAGTAGATGACTACATAGAAGTTAATCTGAATTATCCTTTTTAAGGCTGTTATTTATTATTTTTTTAAAGTATGTTGTTCTTGCTTCCTTGGGTAAAGAAAGAAGCTCCTGGAAATAAAGAATTCTGTCATTTTAAAAATTTGGGTGTAGGGGCGCCCCGGTGACACAGTTGGTTAAGTGTCTGACTCTTGGTTTCTGCTCAGGTCGTGATCTCAGGATTGTGAGATTCATTTCCTCCCTCCCTTGCTCTCTCTCTCTCAAATAAATAAATAAATTGTTAAAAAACTGTATCTAGCACACAAGGTACAATTATTATTAGGGTTTTCGCCTTCATTAGAGGTATGATCACATTAAAGTACTTTGAGAGCCTGAGTCTATGATATGAAGTATAAGACTTAGGGAAGTTAAACACTAATGTAATAACACCCTTTTGTGTTTTAGTTGTATTAATTTCTTACTTCTTCATTGAGGTAGGAGAGAGAAGTCCACAATGCACGGGTAATAGCAGATTTGTACTCATGTTCTTAGATTCTCCCTTTATAATCTAATATCTATGAAGAAGCTTTGGAAATTATAAAACAAAACTATGGAGCTGTGGTCCTTTACCATTAGTATTAACTCTCTAACAATTTATTAGAAGGTCAGATGTTTCCATTGTTAAAAAGATGACCAGGCTTCTTAGTTTGTTATTATGCATTGCAGGCAGCCAAAATCAGGCTGCAAGTAAATTTTGTATTTAAGAGTAAACTGCTTGGGGGCACCTGGGCGGTTTCAATCTGTTAAGTGTCTGCCTTCGGCTCAGACCATGATCCCAGGGATAGAGCCCTGCATCTGCCTCCCTGATCAGCAGGAAGCCTGCTTCTCCCTCTCCCACTCCCCCACTTCTGTTCCCTCTCTCTCTGGCTCTCTCTCTCTGTCAAATAGATAAATAAAATCTTAATTTTAAAAAAAAGTAAACTCCTTGGTGAGATATAAATTATTATGACTACAATGAGGAAGAATTGTGTTTGATATTATAATTATATTATTGTAAATATTATATTTATATTTAATATTACAAATACAATGAGGAAGAATTGTGTTTCTTAACATAAACCTTTTAAGTCCATAATCTACCATATTTTATATTCTGTCACAAATAGTTAAGGAGAAAAAAACCCACCCTATACAAAAAGAAATGGAATATGACAACCTGAGGGAATTGTTTGCAACATATGTGGCAAGGGATACATATTCCCAGTAGAGAAAAAGGCCTATAAAGCAACAACAAGGATACAAATATTCCAGTAAGAGACATGAACAGCCAATTTATAAGAAATTCAAATTGCCAGCAAATATGAAAAATGTTTAGACTTGCCAGCAATCAGAGAAATGAGTATTAAAACAAGTGCTTTCCCTTCCTTTTCAAATGGACAAAAGTTGAGAGAATAAAATGGCCAATGTTGACATTTGTGACATGGGCATTCTCATACACTCTTGGTTGAGTCTATATTGACTCACTTCTTCTGGGAGATAGTTGTTTATATGAATTAAGAACTCCAAAAACCTTTGTACTGTTTGTCTTTGTAATTCTATGCCATAAATCAGACTCACACAAAGATTTATATAAATGAATATTCACATTGTAGTGCTACATAAACAAATATTTTTAAAGGACACAATTGGAGTACCATTAAATGAATTATCTAAGGACCATTAAAAATCTACTGAAGTCTTTAGAAATAAGTTATTCTGCAGAGTTTTCATGTTCAGTTGATTGAAAGGGGATGGTACAATTAAAAGAAGAACAAAAGGAAGGAGAACACCGATGGAAGGGGAGAATATTCCTGAAATATCTCAGGGTGTATCATATTTCTCATAATTTGCTCGATCAGACATGACACACTGGTGTCCAGCAAGTGGATTATAGGCCAGATATGAGATCCTGACTCCCCCACATCCTCAGAGCAGTGAGGCACTGCCCTGGTTGGTCTCTTGACATCCACCATTTGCACAGCTCCAGAGAAGCCCACGGAGCTTACTAGGGAAGTTTGTCTTCCAGGTGCTCAAGAATAAAACCACCTGTCTGACGCCATGTTATGGGGGAGGGGTGAGGAAGGAAGAAGGAGGTCTGCAAGAACACTACCACAAAGAAAACTCACAAACCCATAAAATCTGAGATGAACAAGAGAATTAATCAATGAACCAAAGCATTGTTGTTCATAAAAAAGGACAGATACTCACAAAACTAATTTCAGTGAAATCAAATTAAAGCGGAAAAATTAAAAAGTGGTTTAGCTACCTTTTTATTTTTGTTTTTTTTTAAAATATTTTATTTATTTATTTGACACAGAGAGAGAGATCACAAGCAGGCAGAAAGAGGAGCAGAGGCAGGCTCCATGCTGAGCAGAGAGCCTTATGCAGGGCTCGATCCCAGGACCCTGAGATTATGACCTGAGCCAAAGGCAGAGGCTTAACCCACTGAGCCACCCGGACATCCCTAGCTGCCCTTTTAAAGAAAATTGATCAAGGAATTAAACTAAATGAGTGGTGGAACATCAAGCTAATCTTTTCTTGATCAATTTCTTCTCCATTAGTAAAATTATGATTGGAATGTTTGTATTTGTAAATAAAAATCAGGGAATCAAAACAGGGTCAAGGGGGGAGTAGGAAGTCCACTGTCACTTAGTGACACCAACAAGATAGGAAAGAATTAAAAGACAGGGTCTCTTACCCCTTTCCACCAGCATCTTTACTGAAGACCCTGCTGGACATATGACATGACATGTCTCAGTCCAATACCTGTGCAGGCAATGACTCTCATCAATTCCTCCCTTCCTTGGAATGATCCTTGATGCTGTTCATAAAATAAGCCTAATGTTTGAAGTTCTAGTTCCATTTTGACTGTTCTTAGATTCAGTTTCTAAGGTCTCTTAACCCACAATTCCCATCTGTCAATCAAATCCCCACACCCAATCCGAAGGCGAGACAGTTAATTTGTACTCACAACATAGGCACAGCGGCACTTTTGTTCCCTGCCTCCTACTCCCCAGTCATCCATCGTTTCATAAAGCCCAGGGTTGGGTCAGTAGGAACAGATAGGATGAATGGAAACAAACAGATGGGGTGATGGAGGTACCAGAGGGAATGACCAGGTAGAAAATGATTGGAGATATTCCCTACCTTTTTTTTTTAAAACTAGAAAACAAAAACAATGGAATAAAAGTATTTGTTTGCACATATTCTTTCTTCACCCTGAACTTCCCCTACTCTTCATTTATATTCTAAGACGAAGTCGTTTACTTCACTGGGATTATCATAATGAAAGATCATTTTTTGAAACGGGAATGGACAGTGTGGGTTCGGGAACAATGATCACGCTGTTTATAGGCATAATAATAATGAGTCCCATTCCACGGCTTTATACAAGGTAGTAAAGTAGAATTGAAATTTTGGTTTATCCTTACATTTATCTTTATATTTGTACTGTTTACAGTCTAATGGACACACTCTTTTCCTGAACACCAGAATCCAGTTCAGCCTGGCATTTAAAAGGGGCCAACAATCATTTAACAAGTAAATGAGTAACTGGACATGACTGACCTTCATCGTTTGTTTTTGGCGTGTATATTGTGGGTTTATATTTACTCCTACAGACTGGTAAACGTAGGAAAATAGCTTCAATTCTGGATGAGGACAAGACCCCTTTGCTTCTTGAGATTTTTTTTTTTTTTAATATTTCTTGTTTAGAAGATAGTTTGAAAGTGTCTTACTTCTTAGTAGTTTTCATATTAGAAAGTGACTCAAAATGAAGACGTCTCTGTTCAAACCCTCTTTTTTTTTTTTTCAAGTCTTACCCAAAAGGAAGTGAGTATGAAGTAAATTGCATAAACTTAAAGTACTGCAGAGATGAAACCCAAAGCAGGAAGAGACATGCCACCCATGTCCTGGACAGGAACACACCGTGTCATGTGAAGAGACATGACAAAAACAGCCCTCTTTAAATTACTTTTGGCAATAGTGATTGCGTTCATTTTACTTTTGCCCGAATATTTTAAGACACCGAAAGGTGAGTATATCATTATAATTTATTTTTTCTTTTTCTAATTTTTTAAAAATCATGATAGCTAATGGTCATCGGAAAGGTCTTTTTTTAGATACATACTGCATGGGCTGAAGGTCTACGTCTAAAAAGTTACGCAAATGAGATTGTAATGTTAATTGACTCTTACAGAGCACAGTAACCTTATTCCCAGCACTAAATTATTGTGGCACATGATTATGAGATGAAAAATGAAGAGATGTCTTTAATATCTGGAGTCTAGATTTTAAACATCAAGTTTACATTAATCTTCTCACATGATTTTGCTCTTTGAAGTTATTTCCTGCAAAACAGTTCTAAGTATGCTTTTAGCTTCTGGAATGATTTTTATAAAGCAAGTGATATTTATTATGTTAAAAATGCTTGATTTCCATCCATCACAGCCATTTCACACAAGTAACTCACTGCTGTCTTTTGAAAAATAAGAGTATTCAAAATAGAATTAAAATGAGATGGGTGCAAATTTCAAAAGGTGTGCGTGTTTGTGGATTTGTTACTAGAGTAAAAAGGAACAAAATAAACTCTGTGGATAATTCAGGGGCTTGTGTATGTTTGTTGAAACCTAGGATAAGGAAATAAATAAATGTAAATTTCAGCTGTTTATATAGGTCAGTAAGAGATTTGGAAATATATTAATGTGACTGTTTCGGTGGTAAATATGTTCCCTAGCATTTAATCAGGAGAAAAAAAGAAATTGCTGTCTTCTATCATCAAAGGTATATGAATTTGTTCAAGATCAGCAAAAAGCTTCCATTTGATGGCTGGCTGTGATGATTATTGTTGCATATACGTGACGCTAAGTGGCCAGATAACAATATTTTTAAAATAAACACCAAGTGCAATTTTGTGAAAAATTGAATTTTTCACATTTTTCTTGGTTTTCTGGAGTTATGTTGCTTAGGTGAAACAACCGTAACATGTAGTTTTAATTCTTGATTCCACATAGTGAAAATAGAAAGAGAAGAGTTAGAATTGGAATGGAGATAACATATTTCGATTTTTAAGCTTTTTGTGGTGGGGAGTAAGCTCATTTAATAGTTAATCTAACGTAGGCCATAAAGATCGACCTTGACCTCCAAAAAACTAGGTTCAGCTAATGAAAACTAAGTAATCAGCCTAAAAAAGATTTCTTAAACTGCTAACTATTGGTTAGTGTTTTATGAGAACTGGTGAACGCCAGAGCATGTTAAAAGTTTTTCTTTTTTGAGCAGATGCCTTGACGGTAATCAGCCATCAATGATTTCATCTTCTTACTTTCAAGATGATTACATCAGCTCTCAATACTCCCTATATTGTCTCCTCAGACTAAAAATAGCCATTTGTCTTTTCCTGGCCCTAGAACAGCATAGGTATTTTCTTGGACTCTTTGAGGGGGATGGATTTATTTGGGAATTTTGTTTCAAAGGAACCCTCCCTGGGGCCAACAAACAAAAATGTTTGAAAAAAACCATCATCTTAATCCCAATGTCATTTTGTGGTAGGAGGAATTTTGCACAGAGCTACCATTAAGGAAAGGTTGATTACTGGGCAAAATATTTTACACATGCAATAGTGCAATAATACTACTTTATATTTTTTAATGGCTTGTGGGTCACCGGGAACAAGTTCATATAGCCTCATTTTGTATAGTCTAATATAGACTTGACTAAGGTCACATAATTGCTTCTCTTTTTTCAGTAATTTTTTTATCACAATTACAGTTGCCTCATGAAACTTGACGACTTGTCAACTAACATATTTCATAAAATACCTTGTAATTTATTTAGATGATAAGCTACGAGTGTTCAGGAAGTGCTAAAATTAACCTTGAGACTCTCCTGTATAGTTTTACTCCCCCCATCAGTTACTTGTGGGGTTTTTTCCCCATTTTTTCTTATATTCTATTCACTTCAATTTATAAGATAAATATTGTAAAATGATTTTTACTTATAAATTATTCACTGATACCACGTCGTTCAGACATCAAATGAATTCAGAAGGAATCTTAATGAGGAATAATGTATTCACGAAGTTTAATAGATTTGATTTCAAAATAATAAACCCTCTGAAGGCCCAAGTTAAAAATAGAGAACCGTGTTTGATCCTTTTTCATCAAGAATGTATCCGAGTCTCTGAATAATCATTACTCAGAATATTCAATTATCATAATTACACAGTATAATATCTCTAGTCTAACTTTACTGAGGAAGAGGAACTTCTTCAGCAGTGTTTTGGACTTTTAATGAGTTTGCATTGAGCACATGTACCGGCAAGAGAAACTATTTTAATACTTTCAGTTTACTTGAAAGGCAGCTTATACTGAGAGCCAATAGTTGGTGTCATGAATTGATATACTTATGTTGCATGTAGATAATGGAGCTAGAAAAAGGAATGGATATATTTTGATTCAGAGCTCCTTGCAATTAAGGGAGCCTGGATTGACCCCAAACAAAAGACCTCACCAAACTTTTCTTGGACTTGCAGTGTTAAGAGAGCAAGATCTGGTTAACAGATAGAAATCTGGGGGTGCCTGGGTGGCTCAGTGGTTAAGCATCTGCCTTTGGCTCAGGTCATGATCCTAGGGTCCTGGGATCGAGCCCCACATCGGGCTCCCTGCTCAGAGGGAAGCCTGCTTCTCTCTCTCCCACTTCGCCTGCTTACGTTCCCTCTCTTGCTGTCTCTCTCTGTGTGTCAAATAAATAAATAATTTTTTTTAAAAAAGGGGGCTCTCACGGATTATTTATTTATTTATTTATACTTACAAGTAACGTTTACCTGTGCTCGCTTCGGCAGGTGTACTGAAATGGGAATGAATAGCCAGGAACCCGGGGCTACAAAAAACGAAAGGCAATTCTTCCTTCAAGTTTTCAGTCAAGGGGATGCCTGGCTGGTAAATAATTAAAATCATTACTAAAACAGCAATGTAGAAGAGGTGTGATGGGGACATAAAGTTGCTTCCAGGCCTGTCTGGGGAGGATGTTTCTTCCCTTTTTTGTTGCAAAGAGGAATCACTGTCAGAATTCTAGGCATCAGCTAATATTCCTCCTTAACCTGCTTGCAGAAGCACTTTCTAAGAGAAGCGATTATTACTAATTTTCAGATAAAACGTACTCATCTCAATATCTCAGACAATCTTGAAACCAGAAACTGTAGTGAGTTATACAAGTGTCTTACTGACTGTCCGTGGCAATGCGAGACAGGGGTAGCAGCCATAAACACACCTGAAACCTAATTTTATCTAGCTGTTCGACTTCCTCACTTACATTTAAGACCCAAACTAACATAAACTGTGTTTACCAGCTTTCATTTCCCCCTTGCATTGCACACTTTCTGAGGGAAATGGTAGTATGAGGGGCAGTGAACTTCAAGAAAACAATGGATAAAGGAACTTGACTTATGGACTATAGGATAAACCCTGAAGTATACTAAGCTCTGTACACCTTAACTTACGTCTGTATGATAAAGAACAGTTTTATCAAGGATCGCTGCAATCCATTTGCCTGAAAGGGTTATCTTCCTTCTTAAAAATGGCACGTTATTTCCCTCTTATTGACTGGCTCATTAGAAAGTCCATCAGTGATGGCCGCCTCTGCTGGTGGCCCTGGGGTGCCCCTGTCCCTGGGTTAGTATTTATGGCTTCCAAAAGGCCATTCTGAGAAGACTGAGGAGGAGCTGGAGGAGGAGGACTAGGAACTAGACGAGACCCTGTCCGAGAGACTGTGGGGGCTGACAGAGATGTTCCCAGAGAGGGTCCCATCCACAGCTGGAGCCACTTTGGATCTCTCCCTCTTTGTGGCTCAGAAAATGTGCAGGTTTTCCAGGGCAGCCATGTGGAATGGGACCACTTCCTTCACCTCCTGGTTCTTCTGTCTTTGAGACTGAGAAGCCTTGTACAAGGGCAACAGCAGCAAGAACTGCGACAGCAGCAGATACTTCTAGGGTCTAACCCAGGGCTCTCAGGAGGAACACAGGGGCTCTCCCTTCACTTCCTGGAAAGATCTAGACGGCAACTGCTCTATGACTGGGCTTAGTGGGACAAGTTTGAAAATTCAGTAGTGTTGGAACTAATTATTTGGATTTTTTTTTTTTAACTTTGGCATATTATCTATCTAAACCTGATGGGGAGAAGGGACATGCCCACAATATGAAATAGTAATGCGTTGCAGCTGGGGTGTAAAGCAGCCGCTGTGAATTTCTATGCCAGAAAGGAGGGAGGGCCGGGCAGCGGTTTCAACCATAGGATGGGGACTGTGGAGGACAGAAGAGGAGCTTATTCCCGCTGCTCATTTTGGCTATGAGAGACCTGTGTGTCTGTCTTAAAAAGAAAAAAGTTAAGTGCTCACTTTTTATATTTAAATACTAAAAATGATTCCAATTGAGAAAAGAAAAAAAAAAAGAAAAAGCAAGTCAATCAGTAATCCCCAATAAGGTCTGAGAAAGAGACTAATGGGTATTAAATTTTTTTTTTTAAGATTTTATTTATTCATTTGACAGACAGAGATCACAAGTAGGCAGAGATGCAGGTAGAGAGAGGGGGGAAGCAGGCTCCCTGCATAGCAGAAAACCCGATTCGGGCCTCGATCCCAGGATCCCGAGACCATGACCTGAGCTGAAGGCAGAGGCTTAACCCACTGAGCCACCCAGGTACCCCAGGTATTAAATTTTTTTAAAGAGATTTATTTATTTATTTATTTATTTGGCGGTGGGGAGAGAGAGAGCACGCACACATACAGGCAGAGAGAGAAAGAATCTTAAGTAGACTCCGTGCCGAATGTGGAGCCTGCTGCAGGGCTCGATATCATGACCCCGAGATCCTGACCTGAGCCAAAATCAAGAGTCAGGTGCTTAACCGACTGGGCCACCCAGGTGCTCCTAAAAATTTTTTTTAAAACATAATGAACACTTACACATATATGAGGTACTATACCAAGTGCTTTGACTTATCACTCATTTTGACACATTAAATATGTCAACCTCTTCATGGTGAA